ATAATTATTTCGTAGTAAAAAATTTATAAAATTTTCAACTGTTACAGCTAAGGATTCAAAATTTAAAACAAGGGTCCACGTAAATAGATAAATATATAAATTACTTTATTCACAATAATATCATCAAATATACTTAGTAGTATCTAGGTTGACTGACCGTTTTCGCTCAGAATCTTTTTTCTTATACAATGATATTATATTATTGAATTCAAATTTAACACCATCCATTACAGTGACCCACTTATAACCTACTGTACAGCAGAGCGACATCCACTTACCTACTTTTTAGTTTTGGGATCTACATTTTTTTGTCATTATTATTAATCAATGTATGTATATTGTATATTGTATATATTATTATTATTATACCTGTAGTTTTGATTAAAAAAAAAAAATTGTTTGAGAATTATAAACAAATATTAATGTTTCACCACATAACAATATCAATATCAATTTTATTATGATGAAAAATATATGTGATGTTAAATTATTACATACAACTGCACATAATGGTATCGAATAGCGTCGTTCCATTCGTGGTAATTCAGTGTTATTTAATATTTTTTTTTCTTATATTGTATACATTTTTCAGTTATTATTTTTTTCCTTCCACTAAAATCTATATCAGAATCTGATACCCATTATAACAGTGCGCCATACAGACTCCGAATTTGTATACGTTATATGGTCTTAAAACTATCTGAACCCTAAAACCTCGAAACTAAAATGAAATATTACACCTGCGACACTATACCTGAACCATACGCGATGGAATAATATAATATATTAGAAGATATACCTACTTACTTTTAAAATGTGTTGTAAAAGGTAATATCAAAAATCATTCATGAAACAGTTTATGTATAGTAGTAGGAAACTAATGTAAAAGGAAACAAAAAATATTTTCGCCAAAATATAATCCATTTATTTTGTATATTTCTGTGGAATATTGTTAACCAATTCATTCGATCATATAAAATTAATTTATCATCATTTTTAAAACCTACAACCAGTCTTATATTTATTATATAATGTTATCGAGATAAAAAAAATATTGCTTATTATAATCACTCCCCGCCACCTTTTTACTGTCCTTTTAATATCAATTGTTAAATTTACAAAATTCTGATTTAATTCGTGTCAATGTATCACAATTCAAAAATGAATCACTTGCCGTGGGCGGCTTCGTCTGAGGCACTTACTAGACCAGGGGTCTCCAAACTACGGCCCGCCAACAATTTTTAACCGGCCCGTGGCCCGCATATGTAAATATAGACAAAAAAATTATTTCAAAAATGTAATTATATTATATTATATTATATTATATTTATACCTATTTATTTTTATTTAAGTATATTGTAAAGTAAACAATATTTTATACAAAAATATAAAGTATATGTAAAAATTATATGTGTTAATAAACTTTTGGCCCGCTAAGAGCATTTGATTTTTTTTGTGGCCCTTGAATTAAAAAGTTTGGAGACCCCTGTACTAGACCATTGTTTTAAATTAAACCTCACCAACCACTAATAATTATTACGGTAAAAACTTTTTGACTTAATAAATGATCATTGGCAAAATTCCAAAGTATTACCTTGGCTAAAACAAACATTCCTTAGAATTAAAAATCTAGTACGCACCTACAAAAAACTTGTGAAAACACGACTAAAGAAAAAAGTAAACCACATCAAAGATCATGTATTTTTTTATTATTTAAATACCTATTGATTTAAAATTAGCAGTAAGCAATATTATGTTTATAAATTTAATTAAAATAAAATGTTTGAATAGAAACCGGTATCAGCTTCCGGTTGGACGTTCCCGAACAATCCCACATCATATTATGTCCGGCGCCACTGCCCTTACGACCATGACGAAGACGACGATGATGACGATGTAGACGTATAGTATAGTCCCAACCCCCGGTGAGCCTCGGATTTCCAAAGCCACCATCAAAAAGGAAGAACGACAGGGTAGGGTAAAATGTTTGAATAGAAAACCGGTATCAGCTTCCGATTATTATCATCACTATTATGATATTAGTTGATTCATATCGAGGATTCATTTTTAATTTTTTCAACGTTAAGGCAAATACCCCTTTCAGGTGCCCAATTTCCTGAATAACGGAATGCCGGATGATCCAAATTTTTATTCGATCAAAAAACGTTGGATAAAAACAAAAAAATTCAGGAATTGGGTAAAGTAGGTCGTTGTGGCTGATCTATCTGTAACATAAACAAATATTTAAAACATTTAAGTTAAAATAGCCCATGAAAAGGTAATTATTTTATGGTGTGTTTATAATTTTATATTAGCTTGGTTCATTTGGACTATTTTATTCAATTTCCAATCAACTTCCAAGGACCGATAATTGTATTAAATGTAGCTGTTATTGGTTTTGTCATTAAAATATGTTTAATTAACAAATAAGTGGCTAAAAGTAATCATTATACCTACTAAATAAATCAATTTCAAAACAATCGTTTTGCGTTGGACAGATTATGAATGTAATAGGTCAGAAAACCAAGATAAAATTAATTCTATGTGGCCAAGAGCATGGGTTGGTATATTTAGTATTTAATCAAAGTGTGTACACTAACATCGTTTTTTAAAAACTATATTCTTCAGCGACATCAATCTATCTGACACCGACACACAGTGACTAAATATTATGATGAAAAATACAAAAAACGAAGAAAAATCAGAAATACCAACGGATTCTTCTTCAGATCGACTAAATCTGAAGGGAGATTGGTTAAACTTCTACTTTTTGATATTACTTTACACTTTCCAAGGTACTACTACAGGTTTGTCTTACGCTTTTCCCATAATACTTCAAAATACGAAACTTGTAACATATAACAATCAAGTAAGTACATATTCCAATTCGTATGTTAATCGATTTTTTTTTAAATCATATATATAATATATATATAATGGTTAAAATAAAAATTGAGATGAAGTCTAAACCTTAAGCTATATAGACATCGTGCTAAAAAAAAATAGGTTCTTGTTTGCGCGAAATAGTTATATACAGGGTGATTCTTTTATCAAACAACACTCATCAAGTGTTGAAAATGTTGTTTGATAAAAGAATCACGCTGTATATATTTTTTTAATTTCACGATTATCTTGTATATCCTAATTGGTTTTACGCATTTCGTAAATATTTTTAGCATATAGGTCTGTACTTAATTCATTTTTAGTCTAAAAAAACAGTACATTTTTTTAAACACAAACATCAAATATTATAATATTATTACATGTTAAATTTTATTTTTGATAACAAATGTTGATACGAAATTCAAACGAATAAGCTATTACATTTATAATGTTCTAAATACTATTAAATATTTTATAAATATTTGTTAGATTAAAATGATGATTGGTGATTGGGCAGATTCTTTCATAATAAATAGGTATTTAATTGACATGCCAGAGTACATATATAAGTTTATATTTTATATGTTATACTTACAGTGTGTTTCCAACTGAAAAGTCAGTAACCTTAATTCCTGATGTATTGCAAATATTTTAGTGAAGTAGGGTTAAATGTAATGATATACATAATATATATATATATCAGTATATCACTGTCAAATGGATGACATTAGTCATATTATATTACATTTAAAAAAAACACTGCTCTAAAACACTTGCTCTACAATTTGAAGTAGGGTTACTAACTTTCAAATAAATTAACACCATATAAGTATAAAAAAATATAATATACCTACGACTAGAATATAATATTGACATATTGGTAAGGTGCATATTATAGAGTGTTCAACGTTTTTTCAACCCACAAACATAATATATTTTCAATTATAGTCGTTATAATTATAATATATAACAATATCAATGCAAAAAATAACAGCAAAAATGACAGATTCACAATAATACGTACCTAATGATGTATTAAAAAGTAATTATGTACCTTTTGAATCGCACACAATCGGTGTGATATTTTAATAAACCTATCGCAATATTATTATCTGCATTCATCGTCATGATTCTATCAAAGCACGACCGTCGACGGCGTTTCTATGTTTACAGTAAACACATTGTTCGTTATTTTACATAATAACGGGTATACGGTATTGCTCTCGAATTTCTCATATCCTATGTCGTTTTTGTAAAATACGTATAAGCCATGAAATCGAAAATTGAAACGGACACAGTATCGACTTTTCTCGGTAAGTTAATCGACAAACATACTAAGCACATTTGTGGCCAGTTCGTATACATAAATAATCATCTGGTAATCGTTTTAGAAGCGCCACTTCTCCACCCCCTCGGGGCCCCGTTACAAAATTGAACCTATCTGTGTGGATATAACATTTATCTATCCAGAAGACTAGAACAATAATAATTAAGAGACGCACGTCTAATTATTTTTGGGAAATATTATTGCAAAATTAGACAAAAACTTTTAAGTGAAAAAAAATTGTGAATTATTATACGTATTGTTTTGTAAAATTCTAGTGTAAAAATAAAAGTATTGTAGGTACCATTGATGGACAATCTAGTTAGTTGTAGTTACCTAGTTAAAATAATTAATATATTCAAATATTTTTATATAATACGAACAGTATTATAAAACACATGAAGTTCGTTGTTATCACATGCGTGTTATCATATTAAATTTATGCATAATTTTAAACTGCGAAATTTCATAATTAAAAACTTCGTTAAAGTTGTATAAAGTATGTTATAATTGGTTTTTAACCATATAATTTTCTAATACTTTTGAAAAAAATATTTGTATGGTACTTGAGGATTTCTGAACCCTTAATACCCCCCCTTCCTACCAGTGAGTGCGACTGCAATAACATAATCATGGTAGTAATTGTATTGTTAAATTTCAACATATTTTTGTTTTCACATAAACTTTAGCATACGTAGTATTATTTTAATATTATTTAATGCATATTTTACCACTTATTATAATATTATTGTGTTTTCATTGACACGGTTTGCTGATTTACGCCTCGTCGCCCTTACAACACAGCCAGCACTTGCGCATTGACCATCGGCCTGCACCAGAGCTGGTGGCCGCAGAATAAGGCGGAGGGACAGCCACCGTGCCTTCCGGATTTCACGGACGATGAACTGGAAAAGGTGATGGCCACCATGTACCTGGTGGCCATCGGCTGGTCGCAGTGGTCGGGCGCCAACGTCAGCCGAGTGGGCCCGTACGCGCTGATGGTGTTCGGCGTGTTCGTATCCGTTTGCGCCGGCGCACTAGCGTCCGCGTTCCCAAGCCAAGTGTACTGCGTGTACGCGGTCCGCGCTCTCCAGGGCTTCGGGTCCGCATCGCTGGCCGTGGCCGTGCCCGAGTACATCATGACGAGCAACTCGAACGTCACAGGACCGTTCCAAAGCGAGTACCTACTGCACCGCCGCGATATACTTAATTGCAGGAAAATAAAAATTAACCTGGAAAAAAATTCACGATCGTAGGAAAATAAGTCCCCGGGTATGTAAAATCTATTCCATCGTTCGGACATAATATTACCTGTATTATTATACTTATATAATATGACTATACGAATATACAAATATAATATTATCCTCTGTCCTTCTAATAGTATTTCAAAGAACGCTCATTATAACAAAAAAAAAACTGTTAAAAGTTTTTGAAACTATTTTATTTACATAATATTAATTTGTCACAGATCAAATATTTTGGAAAAACGATTATTTTTTTATCGTTATTGGTTTTAAGGTTTTACTTTTTTAATGATAACATACATTTTCATTATTCATTCTAAAGCAAAAAAAATTTCTTATTACTTTTAATGAAATCAAATCAAATTTTAGACAAGTATATTAATATGAGATATAACTTATAAGTTAGACATATAGAGTTGCTTAGGGGTAGGTACCTCTCAAAATTGTTGTCCACTAGCTGCACTCATTGAAACTTCAGTATAATTAATTAGTACCTAGCCACTCGTCTGAAATTTGATTTTTATATATCAAAATACACCAAACAATATTCTGCTTCAGAATACGAAATTAAAAATGCATGAATTCCCATTCCAAAGAGTAAAAAAGTAAAAATTTAAAAAAATTTTTAATTATTTTTAAAAAATATTAATAGTTTTTAAAGCATGTGTTTCACGTTAAGAGACTCACATAAAATAATTCAAATTTAAAAATTCTCATATTTAATGACTATAGTTGAAATCAAATAAAAATATATTATTAAATCTCGATATATATTATTATACAAAATATTTAATATAATTAAGAATAATTAATTATTAGGTACACTATTTTCTCATATTGTGACTCATTCAGTTAAAAAATTCAGAAATATTTATTTTGCTACCTACTTGGGTACTAAGTTAGTTCAAAGTTATTTTAATCTCTTATCGGCCTCGTGTGTCTAACAATTTAGTTATACTTCACAGTATATTACCATACACGTCGATAACATCTGAAATTCCCACATTATCGTATTTTGAGCCTAACGATTTTTGCCCGGGAGATTTTTATTTATATTATCCAATAATAGTACACTCGAATAAGTTAAGTCGAGTTGTACGCCTGTTTAGCAGGTAAGTTAGGTTATGGGTATAGGTCGTAGATACGTTTTAAACGTTTGCTCGTATATAAGTACTTATAAGTTATAGGTTTATAAAAAAAACTATAGCTGATCTAGTGCACTTCGTTGCCCGTTAAATGTAAAAACTGTATATGACTAAAGCTTTGTTCAATTCGTTATTTAATATTCGGTGTACGGTGTTCAAAATTTATCTTAACTTTTCCGATGCCCGAAATAAAAATTCTGATTCGCAGCAGTATATTATCAGATAGGTTATCCATGGACCCCGTGCTGTTTGTACGTAAGTGTATGATTTAACTCTAAAGTATCAAAGTTATACCAAGTTTATCGTTATTACTTAATTCCACCTACGGTGGATGAATATAATCAATTAATACAAAATCCTAAACTAACCAAATCCGATGATTAAAAAAAAACAATTTTAACCCTTTTTAAATTAGCCTATCTCTTCCCAGAGGTTTAATCTACAGACAAATATTCATTTATATATTATATAGCTGAATAACCCGGAGTTGCCTGGGAAAAAAATTGTGATTAATTAACTCCTTTTGGGTGTAATTTGCTCTGCATAGGTATGGAAGCAAAATCATATTACATTTTAATTTTTAGCCATCCCGCGTGAATTTCTCATATGGTAATGGGAACAGTATATTATCAGGTAGGCAATCTACCTGCGGTAGATTGCAGACACATTGAGTAGGGAGATAAAATATAGGTAGCCTATATTATTACAGCTTTGTAGTTGAAAAAAAATTTGTATACAGTGTACCTAAAATAGTATTGAAGTCATAGTTGATCATCCCGGGGTTTTAGGAGTATTTAATATTTATATATTAATATATTTTGGGGGGTCATTTTATTTACATTTATGGACAAACCGGCTAATTGTATCTAGCTTTGTGAAAGGTTTATGTTATCGGTGTGCATTTTATCATTTAAAATATAATTTTAATATTGGTGTACGCGTGATGCATGAGACTAATTTTTATCGATAAACTTCTCAAAACAATTCTTATCGTTCACCTTTATACAAAAATGATAGATTTCAGGTAGCTGGAAACCGTAATTGAAACGTAAGAGGCCAATATTTATAATAATTGATAACTCCTATGTTTGTTAAGTTAGAGAATCGATAAAATGACATAAACCTTCTCCGCAATGAGCTCTTCAATTAAAAAAAAAAAATCATAACTATCGGTTCAGTAGTTTCCGAGAACATATGCCGCAAAGGTTTTCATTTTCACATTTATATATGTATATATACTCTGTACCAAATAAGAGCGCACCGGGCGGCGCACGAAAACCGGTCGAAACTCGCGCATGTCAGAGAGCGCTGCCGCAGCATATTCCGGCGCCGGCCAGGTCAACTCTGAATACAGAGTGTTGTATAATATCACACCAATTTTAACGGTATACGCGGTTATACGTTGTTATATTTTTTGCGCGCATTGGTGAATATTTTGAATGTTTTTAATATTATATTGAGTTCAATACCTATGTTAAGAAAAAAAAAACGAAAAGTATGTGTATTATTTTACTGATTAATACGCGTGAAACGCATTATTACTTCAGCTCCCTGTATTCTCGACGGCGGCGAATCCGACCGACGATCGGCGACCAATCACAGAGCGAATAGACTCGACCAGGGGGTCCAGACGTCGCTCCGCGATTCATTTGGATGCGCCAACGCGGTGCGCTCTTATTTGGTACAGAGTATAGATAAGGTAAAATAAAAATAAAATAATTCGTTTTATAATTTATTTACATATGTTACATGACTATGACCAACTATATTAGCTTTTTACATTGTATTTTTTAAATATTGAAAATTAATTTAATAATTAATTAATTCAAACCGAAAATAATAGAACAAGTTATCATTTAGAATTTATTCAAAAATTACAAATACGTTATTATAGTTCATTTGAAGTATAGAACAATACGTTTGACATTAAAAAAAACACAACATGCCCTCCCACCGGCCACCTGTGAGAATAAAGTAATAATTAACCGAGTTTAATAATAATTTTGATAATTAAAACGCTTATCACAAAAAATTCTAGTGACGCGAGTTTACGGCGACTCTTTCTCTGTTGATTAAATCAAAATTATAATTATTCTATATTATAATTAAATTTAAATAAAATAAGGTATGATTGTATGAATAATTAGTTTATCTAACGATAGGGATATACCTATATATATACATATACAGGTCTATAAGGTAAATGGATTTTTAAAGCTCTTAAAGCTGGAATTTTGGTATACAAACTATAGTTGAGAATAATGGGACAACAATTAATCTTTAAATCTTCAATGGATATGTACGGAAAGCCTTGTGGTGGGATTTTTATCACGATTTCGAAGATAAGTAACACCACCGGAGTGTATCATGTATTGCAGGCTTAAAATAATAAAGCACCATACAGTCAAAATTACATTGAAGATTTCATAAAAAAAACGTAATAACACGTCGTACAATAATTATACAACATGTGCGCAGTGTACACATAATATTATATTGTGTTTCATAGGTGGCATTAGAGTAGTTAGGTACTGCTAATGAGTTTGTAAATTAATTCGAATTATATACACTATACACTTTCATTAATTTAATACGACTTTATGAAATTTATAAGAAGGTGGTAATGTATTTAATTCAAACAATGTTTGCACAATGTACATTGCTTGAATTAATCAAATCAATTAATTGAGTTAATTATTTTATACATAACAAAAATTCAGTAACTGAACTAAAGTATTTTATTAGGCCCTCCGCACACGAAGCTACTAAAAAGAAACTAAACTAGTAAGTGATTTGAATCACTATAAAATCACAAACTGATTACAGACGCGGCTCCGCACACGAAGCTACTCATTAGTGACCAAAATCATAAATTTGCACAACGAAATGAGCGCGTAGGTACTATAAAATAGGAAACTAGAAACTCAAATAGCTAGGATACTGGGAAGTCGCGTCGCTATCAACTAGTTTACAACTCGTCGTAGACAAGTTACTAACAGGTAGCGTCGTGTGCGGAACTCCACTTGATTAAATTGCCAGCAACGCAAAACAAACTTATCAGTAACTAGAATTACTAATCGGTTTTATTTAGGTATCTCCGTGTGCGGAGGGCCTTAGACTATCATAATGATAATCTCTTCAGTTTTTTATTCTTGCCCATTTTGTCTATTTTGTCCATTTTAAGCATAGTTTTTATTGTTTTGTGTAAACCTAATAGTTAATATCTCACCTATAGTTGTTGTTTGGAGTTTGAATTTGTTTCCTTTATTTATTTTAATGAGTGCAAGATATTTTTATATTTATGACATAATATATTAATATACACAACTGTTTCTTTTTTAAATTAATTGCATCAATGCTAAACCTTGTAGTTAGTGTATGATAAAGAATATTATTTTAAATGTTAGGAAAATAATGATTAATCTTCAGATTCATAAAACTAGTCTGAATAAGTTAAGTTTATTACATTGTCTGTTCACCACCATGTTTCAAACTTTGCGAGCTAATAAAATAAAATCCAAAAACCTTGAATCAAAATAATATAAGTATTGCAAGATTAAATTACAGTAAATTTAACCTTGGATTCAAAATTATAACTCATTAATAACAACAATCAATCTAATTAAAAGTAAAATGATGCGTCGAATAACCGTAAAACTTTTACTGCTAAACGTTCATTTAAAATTAAAATAATTCAAGAGATAAACTTAAAATATATATTATTAAACCGTTATTTACCTATAGCATAA